TCAAGTCTTCAAAGGAGGGGGCTCTTCTTCTTCTCTTCCCTCACTTTTCACATTTGATTATCTCTCTACATTATTCTCTCAACTCACTTAAACATAAATTGACTTGATCGTCGGAGCTTAACCCCGGGGGGGGGGGGGGATCCCAGACTTTCCACAGATTTCTTTCCTCCTGACGAGATTAGACGAATGGATTGCGAGTCAAGTCCCACTATTAACCAGTCAGCAACATCGCAACTCGAGGCCCGCCACACACCGAGCCCGCCACGACGGACACCAACCCGCACCGCTTCACCAACTTGCAGCCAGGTCCTATGCCAATTGGGCACGCATCAATCCCATCCCCGCCCAAATGTGCCCGCCTCCATAAGCCATTTCGCATCGCGCCCCTGCCAGCCTTCCACCTCAAAACTCGCGCAGCCCACGTTGCCTCACATTTAAGTGTAAACAACAAGTTAAAATTATTTCGCTACCACCATTGTCTTGAACCAGCATCCGTGCAACCATATATTAGCGTGCAAACCATCGCACTAAAAGATCACTTATGCATCCACAACGCCAAAGTATGATGTTATTCCAGGTGCGCTTTGGATCCACGCAGCGTCACTAACTCGCGGCTCATTTCTCGTCTGGCCCGCCTCACACTAAGCCTGCCTAGGTGGTGGTCAACACGCCTCCTAAACTCCACAACGCGAACTGGCCCGACTCACTCCTTAATATCTCCAATCCTGCTCTGGATCCACGTCGTGTCACTTACTCTCGACTCGCTTGACATCATTTACCACCATTCGGCCCTCACATAAGCCCGCCCGCAACGCCAAGTCCTAAGCTCACCACAATGCGCGGCCCAAACCATACCGACGCGCCACGCTTTGTGCACCATCAACTTGCGTCCCAACAAGACACGCCCGCGACGCCAAGCCCATGTCTGGCATCCAAGCCCACTCGCGGCCCAACATCACGCTACCGGTCCCGCTCCGTCTCAAGTTTTGCTTCATGAGCCACGCGAAGGTACCAACTCGGGATCGGCCCCAAACTATCGGCGCCGCCAGTATTTGAACCCGCACCACTCCTTAACCAAACAAGTATCTTGACCAATAGACTACATACCCACATATCATTAGGCGCAACACTCTTATTTTAAAGACTCTTCCCGTCGCTTCGCCAACATAAAGCTAAGTACTCTATCCCATTATCATTATTAAATTTTTAAATATTTTACTTTCATGAGTGTTAATGGCGCTAATGGGGGAAAGACGTACCAAACAACATCTGAGATGAGAACACAATCAAGCGACATATGGATATGATCATGGCGCGCTCCTCGACTAGTCAACGCAATGAAGAATCTACAATGGGTGAGGGCTAATAATCACGGCTCGCGCTTCGACTAGTCAATGCCATGAAAAATCTACAATGAGCGAGGGCTAATAATCATGGATCGCGCCTCGACTAGTCAGCGCCTTGAAGAATCTACAATGGGCGAGGGCTAATCATGCCCTCACCAAGTGTTCAACGCCTTGAAGACTCCAAACTGAGGGTACATAGACCCCGACGAGGAGAGCGTACGACGCCTTGAAAAAATATACAATATGGGAGCGCTCAACCACCTCCGTTCGTGTAAGACTCAGTAGTAAGCACAAAAATAAGACTTCGATAAGTGCATTGGTGAATCTACAATATGATAGCCCTCGACTACCTCCGTTCATGTAAAACTCAATCGTAAGCACACAAATAAGACTTCGATAAGAGAATTGGTAAATCAACAATATGGGAGCGCTCGACTACCTCCATTCATGTAAGACTCAATAGTAAGCACACACATAAGACTTCGATAAGAGCATTGGCGAATCTACAATATGGGAGCGCTCAACTACCTCCATTCATGTAAGACTTCACGGAATCACACAAATAAGACTTCGATAAGAGCATTGGTAAATCTCCAATATGAGAGCGTTCAACTACCTCTATCTCCAATAAAGGGCAATAACCGTGCATTGTAACCCCGTTACGTAATCGTGCGGCTATCACAAGTGCACCAATGAAAGAGGGCACACTTGTGTGCGCTTGAAGGATCTCCAACAAACAATTGCTCGGTGCAATGAAGAATTTCAACTAAAGAGCGCTTTACGCGTTAATAAAATCCACTAACTGGGGGGCAAAATCCATGAAGCTGGCACCGCGTCAACTAAGCGCACCACAAACTGGGGGGCAACTAGGGGTACATAGGGCTCCATCCAAGATGATCGGCGAACTTTTAAAAAAATAATAGGGCTAATACCACTACAACACCCGAACTATCCGAAAAATGTCACTTGTGTCCTATTGTTTCCAATATTCCATTCATGTCATGAACTATTATATTTTGTGCCATTTGTATCCTGCCAATTTCGTTGACTGTTAAAGATAACAGTTGACCAAACAACGGTCAACTTAACATTGACTTTTGCTGACGTGGTAATGCCAAGTCATTGACACCTCTTATTTTTAATTTAAATTAAATAAAACTTTGCAAATAAAAAATTAAAAACTTTAAATTCAAGAATATTACTAAATAATATTCTAAAACACCAAAATTCAAAATAAAAATAAAAATATAATCTGAACAATAAACAACTCCCCACAAACTATAGGTGCGGACTCGAATCCGACCAATGAATCGGAGAAGGATGAGAGTGGTGAACTGTGGAAATAATTTTTATTTTCAATCCCTAGCAAACTATTCACCATCCATGTCGCCTTTCTCTTTGATTTCTTCCGATTAGGGATTTGAAAGGGTGCGCTTGGGATTAATTCCCAGCAATGGTCTTGGGTATTCCAGCAACTGAATACTTACCGCTATTAATCCCTAGCAACTCAATCGTCGTGACTCTTTCGTCGCAATGAGTGCTTGAATCATCGAGCTTTGAAATCCGGATCTGGAAAGAGAAAAAACCATTTCCACTTGTGGACGACTGCAAGAGGCGATCGAAGCCAAGCGGTGACAAAGAGATAGAGATGAACTTGCGGGCAGAGGAAAGATAGATCTGGAGATGAATCGACGACTTGTGGAGATGTGGCAGAGCTGGAGAGGTGAAAACTTGCAGCTTGATTTCTCCGATTTCCCTCTCTCTCTCTCTCTCTCTCTCTCTCTCTCTCGGATCCTCTCCAACCCCATCTTCATCGTTGCCGAAAGATCCCTCCTCTACAGCGGAAGGCACACCCATCTCCCTCGTCCGGCTTGACAAAATCATGAAGATCTTGGGGAATATCGCCTGTAGTCCGATTTGACCATGAGGATGAGGCTTGGACGATTTTGTTCATTGAAATAGGGGAATCGTGCAGGAGAGGAGAGACAGACCTGTGGAGAGAGAAAGGGCTAGAGAAGCAGGGTCGCCGATGGGGGTTCATCGGAGATCAAAGGAAAAGGACGATCGGAGATGAGGTGACGAACGACGGATCGGATGCAATTGATTGAAGTTTTGGTGAGAAGGTGCGGATTTTTCTTCAGAAGTTGGAGAGAAAGAAAGTGAATTGATTTGAGTTATTGTTTTGTTTTTGTAATTTTCCATAATTTTTATTTTGTTTTCCTTATTTTAATTATTTTATATGGAATAATAAATGAAAATTGATAATGAAATTCCACGTCAGACGCCACATCAACGCTGACTGGATTTTCTGTTAAATACTAACGGTCAACGTCGGTCAACACTAACAGAATACTAGTTCAGGACCAAAATGGAATATTGGAAACAATAGGGCACAAGTGGCATTTTCCGGATAGTTTGGGTGTTGTAGTGGTATTAGCCCAAAATAATATTAATCTATAGGTGAGTTTAGCTTGGGAGGCAATTGTTGAGGGTGTTACTAAATCTACCGCAAATAGACTACATAATAAGGCACCGGCTAAAGGTGTTACCTATGACGCCAACCAGGGAGCTTGTCGCTTGATGCTCGCCACAAGTATATAAGGGTGTTCAAATAATGGAACAAGCAAAATGTGGTTCGGGTGCAGTCGGGTTAGTCCAATGTCTTAGAAACTTTACCGTCCTGTTCAGTTCAATCGGAAATACCAGAGACCAGCCGAGTTTTACCGCAGTTTGAGCTCGGCTCGTTAATAAACTCGAGTTCGAGCTAGTTTGGTTACTAAAATCTTGACTCTTATTTGATGTATTCATTTTGTATATCATTGTGATACATGTGATTAATATCAAGATGATAACAATAATAATGATAGTTAAATGTTCAAAATTAATTAATCTCATGTTATACTTTGTGATATCATATTATTTAGTTGCCAAAGTTATATTATTTCAAAGTATCGAAGCAATATATAATGCATAATTTATTTTTTAAAATTAAATAAGATATATTTGCTCACATAATATCTACGTGTTAAACTTTATATAGGGTGAGATATATAATTTAACAATACGATGAATTATCAATATCAAAATCATATAGATCGATTAGCTCATAAGTCGGTAATCGAGTTGGCTCTCTAGCCACAATATTGAGAGTTGAGACATCTCATGAGCTCTAAACGAGCCAGTTCACGAGTTGAGCTCAACAAGCCACTGAGTCAAGCTAGTTCACGATCTCCGCAAGATGCAGAAGGCTTAGCTCAAGCTCGGCTCATCTATAAACGAGTCGAGTTTCGAATGAGTTTTTCCCGAGTTGAACGCCGAGCCACTCATGAGCAGCTCAACTCATTTGCAACCCTAATTGTAGTATTACAAGACATCAATCTCTAACTTTTTTCGGTATAAACTCTGATATGATTTCACAATCCTTTATTAGTGCATGTGGAAGTTTGGCCGAGTCATAATTAGCCGGCCATAATCAACTCACTACAAAGTTTATGTGTCAAGATCCATATTTCTTCCCTCCATTAATCGAGCTGTGTTGATTTACCCACTTTAAATACAAATTTAGATCGAAAATGATCATTCAATTTTTAATATAATATGTGCAAAGATAAAACAACGAATTTACTAAAAATATAAATTGAACGACCATCATATCAGTAACCCAAGAATTAAGGGACTGTTTACATAATTTACCCGACTTTTAACTCGTCCCGAAATATCTTTACCCAAATAAAATCATTTTTTTATCGTATCCGGCACGAAGACCTAGTGCACGCTGAAAATTCAAAGCCCGGGCCCAACCGTCGTAGTCGCCGATGAATACGACAACGTAATAAAGTCCCTTCTCACACACTCTATCCACTGAGCTCCACTTACGTGTACGTACTTTCCTTCTTTTCCTCCCAGGGGGTTTGCAGTAATTTCACCCAACACCCAATCCCACTTGCAGAAATATCAGGCAACACGTGTCGCCTCGAGACTCGCCGATGCCAAACCAACCACCGTCCGTCGCTGAATTCTCTGAACAACAAACTCTACAAATACCTTCCGTCCATCTTTCCTCCTCTCACTGGCTCACACTCCACACATTTCTGATTTCCTCACTCTCTCTCCCGGCAACCATGGATAAACTCTCTCTCCTCGCCATCACCACCGTCCTCCTCATCTCCGCCGCCGCAGCCGCCGTGGAGGATCCGATCATCCGGCAGGTCGTGTCCGGGATCGAGGACCAGCTCTTGAACGCCGACCACCACTTCGCCAGCTTCAAGTCCAAGTTCGGCAAGTCGTACGCGACTCAGGAGGAGCATGACTACCGATTCACCGTCTTCAAGGCCAACCTCCGCCGCGCCAAGCGCCACCAGGCCATGGATCCCGACGCCGTCCACGGCGTCACCAAGTTCATGGACCTCACCCCCAAGGAGTTCCGCCGACAGTACCTCGGCATGAGGAAGTCGAAGAACAACATGCTCCGCCTCCCGGCCGACGCCAACAAGGCTCCCATCCTCCCTACCAGCGATCTCCCCGACGACTTCGACTGGCGCGACCACGGCGCCGTTGGCAAGGTCAAGGACCAGGTACAAATCCGATTCCAAGAAAAAATTAGGTCGTGGAAAATAGATAAAGAGAACTGGATCCGTTTCGATGAATCGATTTCGTTGCTGATGGTTTTCAATTGGAACCGATTCTACACAGGGCGGTTGTGGATCTTGCTGGGCGTTCAGCACCGCAGGAGCTCTTGAAGGAGCTCATTTCCTCGCCACCGGAGAGCTTGTGAGCCTCAGCGAACAACAGCTCGTGGATTGCGATCACGAGGTTCGTTGACTCTTTTAAACCAATCGAACTTTGGATCTGCCTCTATAAATCGATCTTCAATTAAAAGCTAGATCTCGATTGTGTGAAAATCGCTTGCGCAGTGCGATCCGTCTGAGTACGGAGCTTGCGACGCCGGCTGCAATGGCGGACTGATGACCTCAGCCTACGAGTACACCCTCAAGGCCGGCGGGCTGGAGCGTGAGGAGGCCTATCCCTACACCGGAACCGACGGAACCTGCAAATTCGACAAGAGCAAGGTCGTGGCGTCGGTGTCGAACTTCAGCGTGATAACCAGCGACGAGGATCAGATCGCTGCCAATTTGGTCAAGCACGGCCCTCTCTCAAGTTCGTAACCCCCACACTCACAGCCATATCCATTTCCTTTTTCACCATGATTAGTATTAACAAGCTGAGTTGTTCGTTTGGTTTTCAGTCGGGATCAACGCCATCTTCATGCAGACATACGTTGGTGGAGTATCCTGCCCTTACCTCTGCCCGAAGAGCCAGGACCACGGCGTGCTGCTGGTGGGATACGGGGCAGCCGGATTTGCGCCGATCCGTCTGAAGAACAAGCCGTACTGGATCATCAAGAACTCATGGGGGGAGAGCTGGGGAGAGGAAGGGTACTATAAGATCTGCAGGGGAACTGGGAAGAACCTCTGCGGGATGGATACCATGGTCTCTTCTGTTGCTGCCATTAGCGTAATTCCTCAGTAGTTTTATTATGAATGAATCTGCTGAAGGTTGTGGACGCGGGTGTTCGAACTCGCTTCCTGCATAATTTATGTAAGGCAAAATGGAGCCCTGTGTGTATATAAGAAGAAAAGCTCTGTAGGCATAAACTGCTGTCTTTAGGTAATGGGTTTGTAAGGCATAACAGCTTTGATCATATGGAATTTGAATTCAGGTAAACGATACTATGTTAATGCTTAATGTTAGTTATATCTAGGGATGGCAATTATGCCCATACCCATGGGTATTTTACTATCCAACCCAATTGGGTTGGGTATGAAATCCAAATATATGGATATGGGTAAAGTTTAATGGGTTTGTACCCATACCCATTTACTTTGGGTTGGATTTGGGTTTGTACCCATGCCCAAATACAAATTACAGTTTGGTACCTAAACTTAATAGATATGCATATTTAGTACCTAAATTTAATTTTTTTTGCATATAAGTCCTCAAAATATCGATGGAAAATTACGTTTTGGTACCTAAATTTTTTTGGTCTTACATTTTGGTACCTAAAATTTTCAAGTTTTACAAATAAGTCCAATTTTTGCATGTGTAGTTAAAACACTCTCAAGTAAATGGATATCCATATCCAACCCATACCCATTTAGATAATATCCATATCTAACCCAAACCCATACACACATCACCCAAACCCTACCCATAATAAATGGGTCTACTTGGGTTTGGGCAAAATTACCCATGGGTGGGTAAATTGCCATCCCGGATCCGTTTATAAGATTAGTAGATGAGGACAATTGCTAGTCAAAGCAAAATAGCAATGCAACAAAATCATTGCTGATTAGTTTGGCTAAGAGTACAAAGAATCAAAAGTGAAATTATCTAAACACTTGGTGATGAAGAAGTTGTATGCTTAGAACAGATGTCTAGAAATCGGAGTTTCGGAAAGCTAAGCTAGTGTGTTAGTAGTTGAAGTTGAAGAGAAAAAGAGCATCACACCACTTTCCACTAATTATATATTTATTGTCTTCCCTTTTATTTACACCAAGCTAATTAAGTCTTGTGATGTGCATGTTGGACACGTGGGATCAGATTGGGAACAAATAGAAACAGGTGTCACCACCCATATTTCCTCTTACTTCTCTGCCTCTCAACAGTCTCTTCCTCAATTATCAACCAACTTTAAACTTCATGATTCCAACATATATAATACTGACTACTGAGGGAAAGAAGAGTGATAACTGATAAACAATCTCTTCTGCAATTATAAGCGCACCCTTAAAACTTGATCTTTCCTTGCTTTTGGAAGTCGCGAGGTATGGAGAGATGGCCATAGCATGGATGAGGCTTTCTATTCTTCCTCCTTGTCCTTGTGTCGGATAAAGGAAATCAGAGGCTCTGTTCCTATTAATTAAGGGAAATCCGAGGTCTGTTCTATGAATGTTTCTCTTTCAAAGGGAAATCGTAGACTCTGGTCTAGGTGCATGCACTCAATGTTGTCATCGGATCAGCTAGGTACCCAGATTTGCTTACAAAGTCTGCAATTCTTGGTTTTGATTTCTCGAAGAAGAAGATATTGATTTCGTAAAGAAGGGAGGAAGTTCTTCGGAAAGAAGAAACCGGATTTCCCTGGGAAATCTGGCGTTGTTAGTCTCCCTTCGGTGTGCCATTCATTGGGCTCAGGGAGGTGAGAGAGAGGGAAAATCGGGCGTCTCCGTTCAGTGGTTTCGGAGATGGGAGGTGTTGAATTGGGACTGAATGAGATGAGAGGGAGCGTTTTAGTCGAGAGGGGAGAGAAAGAGAGAAGAAGGTTTGTGAGCTGGGACCCATCAAATTTATTTTCTTTTTCGTAAGGAGGAGTGACCGATCAGGACATCAACGGGACGCTTAATCTGCCCAAGATAAATACACATGAGTTCATGTGAATTCGACCGCAGGGAATCACAAAGTCCTTCTCGTGAACAGTGAACGCGTTTTTTCGTAGGAACCGTGCATTTCGGTTTTTGGTAATTTTGGCCACTTGTGGTTTAATAATTCTAATGGCTCTAACTTATCCGACCGCCATTGACAGCACAAGCAACTCTTGCTTTTATCAGGTGTCGTTTTACTTCCTACAGAAAGAAAATAGTATATCATACGTATTATGCTATCAGATGACAACATATACTACGATACCGTGACGACTATGACAACACACAAACAATCATAATAAGTTTGCACCGACTCAAAGCTAGAGCTCTAACTCTAAGAGACGGTCACACCTTGTTTGGATGTGGGGGTAATATCCAGTAACCTAAGGTCACCTGATTGAGGATTGGTGCCCTTTCAACAAGGGGCAGTAACTTCACTTACTGGTGGGTGTGAAATGAAACAAAGTGAAATGACAAATGGGCTTTTCCTTCTTCCCAACTGCAATTTCACCATAGTAATGACGAAACTGAAACCTCTGCCACCAACCAAAGCACTCATACTCATATTATAGTCCTGCTCGCCGGTCAACCCACCGGCTCTTTCTTTCTTACTTACCCGCACAGCTTTGAGTTCCATTTGCATGTCGGACCCCGTCAAAACCCGAGACTGGTTCGGATTGCTCTGTCTTAAGGGCGTATTTGATGAACCCGAGACTGATGATATCCACCAAGATAAAAAAAAACTGCAATTCCTTACGTTGACAAAAAGCACTATAACCACGAGTTAAAGATCGTTGGCACTTACTAGAAGTGCGTTCGCAACTAGATGATAGAACATCCAATCTGAACATCCAATCAGTATATCTTTTTAGCATAACTATATGTAGGTTTGAACTAATCTGGCACATTAGCTTCAAGATCAAGGTGGCCAGCGGGTAATTAATGTCAAGTCGGGCTGGTAAATTGGGCCTCATGGTGTTCTATTGGGCCTGCCAGCAGATCGAGGACAGGCCTAACTCCAGTTCGGGTTCTACGAGGGCAAATGCAACGCGACCGACGTGGAGTACACGGTCTGCACTCTGCAGCGTGTTGTGAGCAAAGTACTAGAAGGAGACAACACTCTCGTTTTACCGCCATCACATTTTAAGCTTTACTCACTTGTCACTTAGCCACAGCAACTTTAAATGCTGTGGCTGTGGGTCTGAGTAGAAACAAAGTGATATGAGCTTTTACTTCTTCCAAGAGCAAATTCATTATTGTATCTGTTTGAACCTAACTGAGTGTAGGAGTGAGGTTCGGGGAAGGATGTGGGTCAAGAAGAGCGAACAAAGGGGAAAATCTATGATCTCGCGGGTAACGGGGACTGGAGGAATGAGACTGATGAGACTGAGAGAATGAGATCGAGAGAATTCGAGTTTTTAGAGAGAGAAGTTGATGTTCATAGAGATAGAATGTCAAAAATGCGATCCCCTCACCCACCGTAGTAAATGCCATATTTATAGGCTACATGGTGGTGGGTGAGTGGTTGACTCATATGAGGGTACAATGATGTGACTACTGACATACTAAGGATTTAGGCCATGCTTCTACCTAGGACGTGTCAGAGACTTATCTAGGGCTATGCTTAGGGCCCTGATGTGACTACTGACTACCCCTCGGGGAGTGAGATGACGCTTTCCCACATCCCTTTGGTCTGGTCCACGCTATGATATTTCCACATGCGCGTGGCTTGTTCCGCGCTCGAGCTTCTCGCGCCGGGACGTGGCGAACAACGCTGGGGGGTCTTCGGTCGCGATGTGTTCCTTTGGCGCGGTTAGGTCCGAGTCATTTGCCCAACAATTGCCCCCCATCAGGGGGTGTTCTGTGAATACCACCTGTTTACACTCCCGCTTGATTGATTCGGGCCTGCGTGATCTTCGTGGGGTGGGTTTTTCGGGTTCGCTTCGCTTGACGCGTGCGCGTCACTTCGCTTACTGCGTGCGCGCCGGTTGCGGTTGAAGTTGTCCTGAGTCGCGATTGGTTGGCCTTTGTGCGCGCTTGCCGTTAGGTTTTTCCGCAGGATTTTTTGTTTGTTGTGCGCGACACTTTGAGTTGAAGATGCGTTGTGCTATTGTGCGCGCTACTTTTGCATTGAGGATGAGTCATGATGCGAGTCACGCGCAACTGATCACGCGATTGCTTGACTTTTATGCGCTCTTGAAGCTGGGCTTTTCCGCAGGATTTTTGTTTGTTGCGCGCGACACTTTGGGTCGAAGATGCGCTGTGCTGTGCGTCGCGCGTGACGGTTGCGGTTGAAGTTGTACCGATCGCGCGACTGGAGTTGGGCTTGGGGGTGTGTTTTTTCTTCCTCGCGGGTGTGTCGTGCCCCCCAGGCGGTGCGCGGCACTTGTGGCGTCGCCGACTAGTGCTTATGATGGTAGCTGTCCACGTGTCACTATGTGACTAGGCTACTTGGGCGGGGATTTTTTGAATTTCGAAAAGATTTGGTAGGATCTGACGGTTACGGATCCCTATGCAACTTTAACCCTTCGCATTCCCCTGGCCGACTTTAACCCTTCGTTTTCCCCTGGCCGACTATAAATATGGGACTGCTGTGGAGGAGTTAGGACTCACTTGTTTCTTTCGACTGTTGCCTATTTTCCCGATCGTCCCTTCTCTTAGATTTCTCTCCTCCTTCTACAACCTCAATTCTCCTTTTGCTGTTGCTAAAGTTCGAGTTACTATCATGGCTAGCATCAACAACAACGAGGCCGAGGTCGTGCAAGGCGAAGAAGGTAATTTCTCCCCTCTTTCGCACACTTCTACTGATCGTTCCGGTGATGGGAACGGCGGTTCTGGGGATTGGAACGGCGGTTCTGGTGGTGGGAACGGCGGCGGTGGCGATGGGGTTCCGGCGACGCCGTCGTTTGACGTCGGGTCAGAGAATGAGGGCGGCGGTTCTTCCGACATGGGTCTGGTTGCCTCCGGGAGTGGGTAGGCGGTGCAAAGAGCTCGGGGAGTGCTGATTATCCGGCATTATCGGGACAATAGGCCAAGGGCTGCCGACGATGTAGCGCGCGAAGACTCTGCGCACAATCCGAGCCGCGCAATGTTGTGCGCGTGTCAGAGGCCCTGGCCCAATTGGGTCCACAAGGTGTTGGCGCCGCGTACACCGTGATAGAATGGGCCGAGATGTGGGGCGATCAGCCAGCGCCCCATGACAACCTCAAGCGCGGGCCCGAGCACGCCTCTATATATGATGTTGACGACGTGGCGGAGATAGTTCACGGGCTGGGCTTGCCCCCCCATTGGGAGTACGCTGCTCCCTCTGCGCGAAGCATGGTGGGCCATTGCCCC